ATTGTATGAAATACTGGAGAGAAACTTCAGACTCTGCCTCATCGGTTGCCAAGCAACACTAGCTGCCGGGTATTTTTTTTTTAATTCTATTTTTGTAAATATTTTACCAGCCCTTTCCTTCTCTCACTTCTCAGCTGTGAAAGATTGGCTAATCGCGGGTAGGAAGCCATTGGCGACACATTGGCAACGTGTGTGGCTGCGGCCTTTTCGACGGGAGGCGGCTTCCCTGCCCTCCGCAAGAGGATGCCCCCACATGTTGGGCCAACTTCTTTCTAAACTCTCCCTCGTCCACCTCGATATCGGCCGGACGTGGCACGCCAGCACACGGGGGGGCACGGGGCGGGGCTGGAGGAGGCCGGACCGTACGCACGCGGGGGTCTGCAGGAGCGTGGGACCCGAACGCGATGAACGCAGAGAGACTGGATGAGGTGCGCCGGGGCGGCGGGGGAGGTAAAGGAGGGGTGCGCGGGGGGAGGCAGCTGCCGCGCACATACTCTCCTTTTCCCCCTCATTGCGGCAGAGGGGGCGGCCTGGCCCGGCCCGCGCGCGGCCAGACTCCGACGACTTCCCCTTTCCCCAAAGTCAATGAGCTGGTCACCACCGGCCGGGTCCCGCCGCGGCTGCGTAAAACGGCTGGAGGTGCGCAGGAGATAACGGCCGGGCCGGGCCGACGGGCGGGGGGACGAGGGCACCAGACGGCGCGTCGCCACAGCCAGGTGGGAGGAGGGGGCGGCGGGGGGCTTAGCTTACTCCCATGGCGTGTACCGGACCGGCTCGACCGGCTCCAGGGCTCAACTTGAATCGGACCTCAGAGTTCGGTTCAGTACACTGGATGCAGGCCATGACTTTCACCTGTGCCCTGCCCCCCTCCCGTGTGTGTCCATGTCCACGACGGCCGCCGGCCCCCGCGTGCACATTGCAGCGCCCCCCCCCCCCCCCCCCCCTCTCTCTCTCTCTTTCTATCTTCCTCTCTCTCTCTTTCTATCTTCCTCTCTCTCTCTGTCTGTTTCTTCGCACCTTGACGCCGTAATGTGACGATGAACGCCCCTGTGTGACCCCGGCACATGACCCTAAGGTGGGTCCCCCCCTCCCCCCGCCTCCTCCGAATCCCCTACATCCCACTCTTCCTCTAGCTCATTCTTCTCGTCTTGCTTCTGCGCTCCCTCCTCAAATTGCCAAACAGGTCCCCCGTGGTCCGATCCGAGGAGACTAGCGTATAGCGCATAGCGACAACTGCCTCTGTCCGTAACACCCCGCCACGCCCGGCGCAGCCGCTGTCTAGCTCGTGTCTGGTTTGGCACTTCCAGGCAGCAGCAGACCGCGTTACAAGTGGTCGTCGTCCCCTCCAGCTAGTGGCCCTCCAGCTCCCCCCCCC